TATTAATAAATTTATTTTTATTTAATAATTATAATTATATAATTTATTACAACTTAAATTATGTAATATTTTTTTTTAAAAAAGAAAAAAACCTTATTAAATAAAAAATAAAAAATATTAATAAATTTATTTTTATTTAATAATTATAATTATATAATTTATTACAACTTAAATTATGTAATATTTTTTTTAAAAGAAAAAAAACCTTTAACATTTAAGATTTTTTTAAAATTAAAAACTTATTTTTATTTAATAATAAATATTATGTAATTTAATATAATTTAAATTGAATAACTTATTTATTTTAAAATTGTACCCTTTACTATTTAAAAAAGAAAAGAAAAGAACAGAAAAGATGATGTGGAAATCTTACATGGCAATGGTACACGTAGCCCGGTTCTGCAGTAGCGTCGAACGTATATGATTGGTTGGAATGTATGTACGCGAATCTCACCAGTATCTTCGTCACGTATCCAGGTAGCATCTTGTACACGTTCTTCCACCCTCTTTCATGAGCTGGCACTTCCGTCTTGTTGCCACGTGCATACTTGCTGACCTGGCACTTGACTGCGTTGTTCATTTTCAACATACAGTTCTTGAACTCATCTTCATTCACTAGCTCCGTCTGATCCAACACCACGAACAGACCCAAGTGAATGTGCACTGGATGATTGTCCTCCGTCAGATTGATCACGTACCACACCTCGCTGGTCCCCACCTTCGGAATCTCCGTCACCGGATCTTCGTACTTCAATCCGTTGATTAAAAGATGCGTCGGGTCATCGGTGGAACTCGTGTACTCGTACAGAGCAATGTACCGCGTGTGCGATGCACTAGATGAATCCGGAGACGGGTATTGTATCAACGAATCGGGTACCCATGAGGGGTCGGCCGTTTGATTTTTCTCAATGATAAATTTCATGACCTTACCATTAAATTCATTCACGGAATCACCAGACGGAAAAGGGTATGGTGCGTCGTTCTGTAGGATAGCAGTGTCAGTCATTGACTCTGAAAAGTCAACCACGACATCGGCAATTTCAGATGGGGCCAGGAGAGTCTCGTTGGTCAAGACAGGTGCTCCAATGTATGCTGAATCAGCTCCTACGTGGATGAATCTGAGACCGTTGCTGAAGAAGAATTTGTAGAACCTTGCGTTGCTGGCGTTGATTATGCGGAATCTGTATTTCCGACGTTGAACTGTCAAACGTGGCCAAGCTTTTCCGTTCACCACGATGACGTCACCAAAATATTCCGGCTGCCACTGCGGGTGTATGGTGGGGTTGTCTCCGGTGCGATTCATGTATATGTAACCGTTGGTGTAGAAGCTACGATCAGTGACAACCAACGGCCGATCAAATTCATTGCCGTGGGGGAGTCCAAGTGGGCCCTCAACAGCTGGATCACGGACAATGTAGGCCCCAATCAAGCCCGCCAAGAGGTTGACTCTAGTCAAACCCAATGCGTGATCATGGTACCATAGATTTCCAGGTTGCTGATTATTAAAGTAACGATACGTTGCGTTAGTCCACGTAGGTCCCTTCTCTTTAAATCCAGCGGTGAACCACGACGTCGAGTGTCCATCGCTCTGTGGTTTACCTATGTTGCCATGGAGGTGCACTACCGTAGGAACGCCCTTACGGTCTGGGGAAACTGCAGTAGGAATCGTCGGGTCCCAAGGCAATATGTGCATTCGAGGGAGCAGATTTTGCCACGTTACATAAGTTTCAACGCCTTGGAGGGCCTCGATCGTCGGACCGGGAACCGTCGCCGCGAGCTTAGATGTACCGAAGGCGAACACTGGTGTCCGAGGGAGGTCCCTGTGGAATTTCTGCAACCAAAAAAAAAAAAAACACCAAAAAAAAAATAATTTTGTTTATGGTCAGTCATGGCTAGTTTGGACTTATCTGGACCTTTTCGGTTGTCGAACTCATTCCAATAAATTTTTCTTTACTTTTCTTATTTCTTTTCCCGTATGGAGAGTAGATAACAAAATATACTGTACTTCTGATACGAAGTAGAGTAAATAACAAAATACACTGTAAAACAGAAAACTTAAAATAAAAGTTTGGGAAAGGTAAAAGAAGTTGTTGAACTAATAGAACAATTATAGCATTTAATGACGGTTTTGGGAGTAGGTAGGGCCTGAGGGAAGAGGCGGAGAATATGGGAATTCAGCATGATTTGAACATTGGAATATTTTTTTCTTTGGTTTCTGTACAATACAGGAACTAGCAGTGAAATTTACCACAAATTGCATACTTTTTCTACTTTTTCTTGGTGAAAGTTTTCCTCAAAAAAAAAACCTAAATCCAAGCTAGGATTCACATTTCATATCGAAATCCATTGATGAAAATACTGTTGATTCGTGTGCAAGCTGGGGTCGCCTAGAAATCATTGAGTTCGAGACCATAAAAAATTAAAGAGGAGCTTCTAGGGTTAAAGCCAGAGCAGCTCCAATTTAGATAACAATTCTAGTAGTGTGCCTGTGATTCTGGCTCTGGCTATAATTCTAATAGAACCCATGAAAAAGGTAGGAGAGTCTCCAGCAAGAAAGAAAGCAATTAAAATAGAAAGTCATGTAGGAAAACCTTACCCATCTCTTGTCGAACATGCCAATCTTTAGGGACTTGGATTTGGGATAGCCATTCACAAGATCAAAAGCCGGGATTCTGGGCATATCTGGAAGGTCATCAACAAACATTTTCAGCTTTGCTGGGTCCAAAAGCCCGACATCTGCCCATGAAGTTCCGAGCAGTAGAAACAGAGCTAAACATGTAAGGTGAAAGTGAGGCAGGGTAAACCTCTGCATCTGAGTCATCTCTTTTGTTGCTGGCTTGTGGACAGAAAGAAAGAGGGAGATGAGTTCTTATAGAGAGGAAGTTTGGAGTGGAAATATATGGTGGATTATATTATCTGAGGAAGGGGATTCTTGGGGAGAATGAAGGAAAATCAGAAGAAGGTCTCTTTTTTTTTTTTCCATGAACTTTGTCTTTGTGGTCTACGAATAGGAAATTTGCTTGGAGTATTTAAAGATAAGATTATTCCCAAAAGGGCCTACATGACTTCCTAAATTTTTAATATATTTTGATTTTTGAGTTTCTCTGGTTTCTCCTTTTCATTGGCTGTGGCTGCTAGGTTTTTTCAATGAACGGATTCTTTTTGTTAGATATAAATGTGATATACTTCAAGGCAAATCTAACGTGGCAGAAGCTTGAAAGAGGTAGCAAGTATATAAGTTAACATTCAGTAATTTCTTTTAATGTGTTTTAAAATTGTGAAGTTTAAAAAGCTAGTACCATCGTTAATGGATTAGGTCATTATAGATAGGCAGGGACAGAACCAGAAATTTAAGTTAGTACGGTAAAATTTAAATTTTATTTTGTAATTTATTTATTAATTTACATTAGTGTGATCAACACAAAGTTTAATGTTAGTCACTAATTTTATGAATGTACCATTTATATTATGCATGCTAAATTTTAAAATTAATTAGATATATTTAATTATTTTTAAATAGAGTATAATTTAAAACCTTTAAATAAATAATATAAACATATACTTTATTTTTCTATATTGTTATATACATCAAATCAACTTTAAAGTTGAAACTCTCATAATCTACATAAATATAGAATAAATTCAACCATTAGTTTAAACTATAATATAAATTATACAAAAAATTATAAATAATTAAGATAAAAACTTATATAAATTACATTAATATAATTAGATTTTGACCAATTTTTGGTATT